TAAACTTAAGAGTGATATGAGTCTCTGATTATTCGTATTTCTCGTGTAGAATCTACATGTCGTTTGGAGTATATCTAATGCACAATGCCATTCTCTCTAAACGACACAAAATAATATTTCTTTTACATTGTATGTTGGAGATCAGTGTTACTGATATAGTCGCTAAAATTTCCTTGTTCTGTTTGGCGTAGTGATTGGTTGGTGAAGTTGTTGGTGTGACTCTAAAGTGTCACTATTTAGCTGTTTGGTTGTTGGTTTTGGTCTTAGGATGAAACCTACAACATTTCTCTCTTGGGCGGACACTCAACAGTATGGCCAAAAGAGAGGTGTACGCATAACGGTAGCCAAGTGGTTTGCAAGTTTTGTTTTGAAATGAGAGAAGTGATGAAAACCCCAACGAGGCCAACCTGGTCACACTACGTATTATAGTTTAAACATATTCTATTGCCGAAAGCAAATGGATTGGGCACAAGTTATCACAACTTATAAGAGCCCTCTCCACAATAATATATACAATGAATGTGACAACAGCTATGTACAGTTACAATTCATTTTTAAATGTTAAATGTAGTAGGGAAAAAGGAAGGAAAGAAAAGATGGGAGAGGAAGAGAAGAAATTTATTTAACAATCTGACGTAGTCAACGCTCATGCCTGGCACTATAACTGCACAACACATCATTCCTTCTTACACAGTTCATTAAAACACCATTCCTATAGCCCATCTCGTTCTCTTCAAGGCTTTCAATTAAGCTTAACTAAAGTGCCAGGCAAGCATTCCTCGTAATTAATTAATAACATTCAATATTAAAAAAATAATATAGTTACAAGTAGCTATTAGAGATACAGAAAGGAGCAGAGGGCAAGGTCACCAATTCACAGAGTGAAGTCAGAATCTGTTGCTGGCCCGCATGTATGTTTGTACGATGTGAAAAATATCTTCGGTTGCACTAACGGCGAGTTAAGATTTTCCAGACAAAAGAGTTTCGAGATTAATTGGGTAATATGGACGCAAATTTACAAACATGTTTGCTCTCAAAATAGTATCATTAGGACATTCAAAAAATAATGATATGCATCTTCACAAAAGTGTCCACAAGAACATGATGATGATTCTACTAAGTTTACACGGTACAAATCGTTATTTAACGCACCGCAGTTATATCTTAATTTAGTATGAATTATATTTAAACGACGTGGTACGTAATTAAAAAAAAATAGTAGATTTGTTTTGTCTTGGACTGATAGCTTTTCTAAATTTAGACACAGTTGGTAGATTTCTTATTTCATCGGAAAGATTGTTCCAGAGTTTAATAGTGTTAGGCGAAAAAGACAGTCTGGTATTGGTTAGTCTATAATTCGGTAATACATAATCATTGTTATTTCTTAATTCATACCTGTTTAAATTACTGTTAACTGTTGGTAAAAGATCGTGTAAATAAGAAGGTGTTAGATTATTATGGATCTTGTAAAATAAAAGCAAATTTCTTCTATTTCGTCTGTTTTCTAATGATTCCCACCCCGTTTCGAAATATAATGCTTGCCTAGTAACGTAACTTGGTAGACCGGTCACAATTCTCGCTACTTCTAATTGTAATTTTTCTAGTAAATCAGAATGAAATTTAGAACAACCACTCCAAACTTCACAAGAGTATTCAAGAACTGGCGGTATAAATGAGGTATAAATTTTAGATAGAGTTTTTCTATTTACTAAAATTTTAATTGCCTTAAGGCATTGATCTTTTTTAATACTGACTGATATATAAAGTCAACATGATTCCCCCACTTTGCATTAGCACTCAATAAGACTCCTAAGTGCCTGTGGCTTTCTGACATATTTAATCGTGTTTCACCAAATTGTAAATGAATGGCATTGTGTAAATGGCATTAGTTCTATTAGGATTAAATGTTACCAACCACTTTTTGGACCAATCTATTATACGCTGCATATCAAAATTTAAAATTCGTTCTATTTTTAGTATAGAGGAAGAACCATAATTCAATGAAGTATCGTCGGCAAACAAACGTGATACACTTAATAAATTCAGTTATATCATTGGTGTATATTAGGAACAAAAGAGGCCCTAAAATTGAACCATGGGGAACTCCAGTTTTAATTGTTTGGTAATACAAATACTCTTTGTTGTCTTGATTTTAAATAATGTTAACCAGTTCCTGATATACATAAGATTTAAGTTTTGATATAGACCCTTGTGCCAAACTCTGTCAAATGCTTTTGAAATATCACAAAAAAACAATGTATGTGTGTTTCTTTTCCTCAAGATTGAGACAAATGTTGTGGTAGATTTCAATGAGTTGGTGAACGGTAGAGTGTGTAGGCATAAAACCATAACCGAAAGTAGAGCTGCGAATGTATTAGACGTTCGAGCCCCGACGTCCATGGTGTACCAGACGTTTGAGACCTGACGTTCATGGTGTATAAGATGTTTGGAACCTGAATTTCCAAAAGTATCAGATGTTCGGGCCCCGACGTTCATGGTGTACCAGACGTCTGAGACCTGATATTCATTGTGTTTAAGCTGATTGGGATCTGACGTTCATGGTGTTATCAGATATGTGAGATCTGGCATTAATGGTGTTTCAAACGTCTGGGATCTGACGTTCATAATGTATCAGACGTTTGGTATCTAACGTTCAGTGTGTATCAGATGTTTGAGACCTGACATTCATGGTGTATCAGATGTTTGAGACCTTGAATTCATGATGTATCATATGTTTGAGACCTTGAGTTCATGGTGTGTTAGACGTTTGGGATCTATCGTTCAGTGTGTATCAGATGTTTGAGACCTGACATTCATGGTGTATCAGATGTTTGAGACCTGACATTCATGGTGTATCAGACGTTTGAGACCTGACATTCATGGTGTGTTAGACGTTTGAGACCTGACATTCATGGTGTATCAGACGTTTGAGAACTGCCATTCAGTGTGTATCAGACCTTACATTGGTGTCCCACTCGTATGAGTTGGAAGTGCCATATATATATATATATATCGATTCTCTGATTGTCCTTGACTGTTATTTTCTGTTTACAAATATCACCCGAATGTCTGGAACAGCACATGAAATATGGAGAATGGTAAACAAATATTTCTCACGGGAATAGGTATTGATCGCTGACCTTGATTACAGAACAGAATTGTCGATGTCGGTCACTCCGATATATCTTCCTACCTTATTTATTGACATCAAGGTCGTGAGAGTTCAATCATGTTGACTGCTGATTGGATTGGCGGAGAAACCGACTAGAGCAAAACACTATTATAAAAACATCAAAGAACGATGATGTTTGTGAAATCACTGACACATAGAAAAGTGCTCGCTTTTTGTCAAATTCTGAAATAGATAAATTGTACTGTGTATTCTTGGAAATAATAATACGTTGTATAACAATAGAGCAGAGATCAATCAGCCGATCGTACGGAGGCTTTAGTCATCAGGTGTTGGATTCACACCACGTGACAAAGCCTGTGCCGTCTTGATATGCAATTCTCAAAGATGGAATTCGAAATTGTTTTTATTCCGCCTGCGTATCCTACAACGTATCCGAAACTGGTTTTATTCCGTCGGCGTATCTTACAACGTATCCGAAACTGGTTTTATTCCGTCGGCGTATCTTACAACCTATCAGAAACTGGTTTTATTCCGTCGGCGTATCTTACAACCTATCAGAAACTGGTTTTATTCCGTCGGCGTATCTTACAACGTATCCGAATCTGGTTTTATTCCGTCGGCGTATCTTACAACGTATCCGAATCTGGTTTGATGTTGCGGCGTGTTTTGTGTTTTGTTATTCAAATGTACAAATACCCACCCGCAAAGTAAAACTATACACTTAACAATGTACAATAGATCAAAACCAGCTTGTCGGTTGTTGTTAGTCTTCAATGGAAAAACAACGAAGCCTTTCTTTTGAAGAAAATATGCTTTCTTCTGTTCTTAATACTGAGACATAAAATTCAATACCATCTCATAATAGCTTAAACGTGTTTTATCTGCCTTGTGAAACGAATTGAATTGACGTTTCGATATGATCAGGGTATACGGTAATCATGTTAACTGAAAGTGCAGAAAATCTAAGCGTGATTATTATTGTGTTTGAAAATGAATAATTAGTGTTTTAGTGAGTTCTAATGAACAGACTCCATATATCTACATACGTCAAAGTTTATATTACTGAAGTTTTATCTCACTAGTCTATATGTAACCCTGGTAAATACTAGGCGCAATATACCGCCCGGTTACAGAAAACTTCTCTTTAGCTATATCGGTTTAGTGTCACGATAGTAAAGCCAAATGTCCCGGGTTCGAATCCTAACGGAAGTACTGAAATAAACGATTATCTCCCTTATATACATACCACACAAGTATTAAAAAATATCGGCGTAAAATTGTATCTAGTACACCTGTCAGATTGATTGTTTTTTTACCTGAAAATCACAGAGGTCCGTTGTTGTGATGTTTCGCCGATAACATTTTGGAAGGGAGGGTAATAGAGTTTGTTTACATCGATAACTTACTCTTTAAGTAAAAGCTGGGGAGGCGTTTTAACAGTTCTTTCAGGACAATACCTAGAAAGATAACGTTATTAAATGATGTCCGATACATTGTAACATTTACTGACTTGGAGAATTTGTTATATCACTAGAAACAGTTAATCATACAGGTCTGGCCGGCCTCTTGTTTTATAATACCAAGCGATACTCGTGTAAGTGTACCATTTTTCAATGATAATGTTTGTATAAAAAATATATAAGTGAATTCCGATATATCCTGTGTCCAGCTTACGTTACCGTCATGTTTACCACGGATGTTTTAGTATGTTTGTAAAGTAGCGTCACTGTTAATGGTAAAATCACAGTTGATGTAATTGAAAAAAAAATTGGATTGAGAGATGATTGAGACAAATAAAATCTCTATTGTTTAAACAATTTCAACTGGAAACTTATTTGCCTTTGTTGAAAAAAGGAACAAAACTTCCTTTTCATAATGTTGCTTTTAATGAAACAGAAATAAAATTAGTAATATGACTATGATATAATGAATTGCCTTGCCTCCTAAGGAAGTCGATTTCTGGATACAAATATTCTCATTAAGAAGTAAGGACAAAAGACGCCGTTACTGGTCATACACTAAATACGCGTCACGCTTCACAAAAGTATCACACTCTACTGACTTTAAACGGCATTTACGTCCCACAGTTATTTCAAATACGACAAATTACACAAAATATTTCTTGTGTTTTACCCAACTTACTGAATACGCAACAGGACAATGACACAAAATACGTCACGCTCTACTGGACTTACTGGATACACGACAGAACAATGATACAAAATACGCCAAGCTCTACTGAACTTACTGGATACACGACAGAACAATAACACAAAATACGTCACGCTCTACTGAACTTACTGGATACACGACAGAACAATGACCCAAAATACGTCACCCTCTACCAATCTTACTGGATACACGACAGAACAATGACACAATATACGTCATGCTCTACCGAAATTACTGGATACACGACAGAACAATGACACAAAATACGTCACGCTCTACCGATCTAACACAAAATACGTCACGCTCTATCGTTCTCACAAAGCGCACGACACATCACACACCACAAATTACGTTTTTTCTAAAAGTCGTCCTCACATTATATCAGCGCATGACAAACTTTGATTTTCAATTCCTGATAATTCACTAAATCTCTGCATCCTCAAGAAGACGAAAAACTTGTAACCAACCAACTAATCCCCTAACCAACCATCTGCATTCACATAAGTATTAGTCTATACTAGTACGTGTTTATCTACACTTAAGGTTATTGATGGATTCTGTTCCCGAACTTTTCTTGTGGTCTATTCAATATTGAAAGTATGTACAGAAACAGATTGGCTTCATTTGCTGTGTGCTGACTAACCAGTTTCCGTTTATCTGTCCTCGTTTGGTCCTTGTGGCTGTTGGCAGTACGTCTCAGACGCACTTGTTGCAGACGTTTTTATCACGTTCCTAAGTGACAAACTGGTTTTCTTTATATTATCTGATCCTGAAAACGTGTCGAAGCCAAGAAAAACCATGGCTATCTTGTACAGAGCAGAAAGGCACACGCATAATTGACATGTCTAATGTCGTGGTTTTATTGCTTACATCCAATGACAGACAGCATGCGCAGTCTTATTGATACAGGCTAAGTTATTCTAGTGACCTAGTTTGGTAACATTCCCAATGTGAGTGCTGTGTTAAATGTGTTTACTATCTCACAAAAACTATTCCAGGCCAAATCACCACTTGTCACCTACACTGTACTATAATGTGGACAGGCCCAAATCTACCTCGCACAACTCACGCAACACGACAACTTACTGAATTAACACAACACTAACTGAGCCGGTCACGTGACATTGGAGACACCTTTGAGTAAACGTCTGATGACGATGATACAATGTAATAATGACAATATGGCAGTGTTATGATGATACACATTTATAAATAAACCAATTATGGCTTATCGATCACAAGATGTTATGATGAAAGTTAAATAAAATTATGGGGTTGTGGTGCTAATAATATCAAAATAAAGAACATTAAATTATCGACAGCTTTGAAAATAAACCGCTGCTGACATCACAATCTTTGCAACTTTTGCTTCCTGGAAGCCTCGACCTAGTCTTTCATTTCTTGTGACGTCACTCCTTCATCCTTAGGCCTTATCGTCACTGTAACTGGGAAGACCAACGCTATAACATCATACATCTCTGGATAATAAAGTTCTTGTTGGGAATGCACGTTTTGACCTCTCTATTGTCATTCGTTCAGAAATCGGGTCAACTGACATCTCGTGACAAACTGTTCGCATCAGAAATGATTTGCAGTTTCAGGATCTGTTCTGATTTCCCGGATTTTTGTGGATCTAAAAAAGCAAAAAAAAAAAAAAAAAATCATACATAACTTGAAGCGAACCTGAAACCAACAATAAACGGTACTTCAAAATCAATTCTTCTCCTGTTAATGATAAAAAAACAATTATCTTACTTTTTAACACACAATATAGGAACCCAACACAACGCCAACAACAACACGATGCCGCCAGTCGATAACTAGTTGATAAAAACGCAGTAATTAAAGCCAACATGTCCGAAATTAAAAAAAAACAACACTATCAAACCATCATTTCAACTCCGCGGCCACATCTACCCAGTGACTATTACAACACTAAAATATCACATTTCAACTTCGCGGCCACATCTACCCAGTGACTATTACAACACTACAATATCACATTTCAACTCCGCGGCCACATCTACCCAGTAACTATTACAACACTACAATATCACATTTCAACTCCGCGGCCACATCTAACCAGTGACTATTACAACACTACAATATCACATTTCAACTCCGCGGCTCCATCTACCCAGTGACTATTACAAAAATACAATATCACATTTCAACTCCGCGGCCACATCTACCCAGTGACTATTACAACACTACAATATCACATTTCAACTCCGCGGCCACATCTACCCAGTGACTATTACAACACTACAATGTTACATTTCAACTCCGCGGCCACATCTACCCAGTGACTATTACAACACTACAATATCACATTTCAACTCCGCGGCCACATCTACCCAGTAACTATTACAACACTACAATATCACATTTCAACTCCGCGGCTCCATCTAACCAGTGACTATTATAACACTACAATATCACATTTCAACTCCGCGGCCACATCTACCCAGTGACTATTACAACACTACAATATCACATTTCAACTACTCGACCACATCTACCCAGTGACTATTATAACACTACAATATCACATTTCAACTCCGCGGCCACATCTAACCAGTGACTATTACAACACTACAATATCACATTTCAACTCCGCGGCTCCATCTACCCAGTGACTATTACAAAAATACAATATCACATTTCAACTCCGCGGCCACATCTACCCAGTGACTATTACAACACTACAATATCACATTTCAACTCCGCGGCCACATCTACCCAGTAACTATTACAACACTACAATATCACATTTCAACTCCGCGGCTCCATCTAACCAGTGACTATTATAACACTACAATATCACATTTCAACTCCTCGGCCACATCTACCCAGTGACTATTACAACACTACAATATCACATTTCAACTCCGCGGCCACATCTAACCAGTGACTATTATAACACTACAATATCACATTTCAACTCCGCGGCCACATCTAACCAGTGACTATTACAACACTACAATATCCCATTTCAACTCCGCGGCTCCATCTACCCAGTGACTATTACAACACTACAATATCACATTTCAACTCCGCGGCCACATCTAACCAGTGACTATTACAACACTACAACACCATACACACTATGTCAAGTTACCCAATCATTTAAACTCCGCGGCCACATCTACCCAGTGACTATTACAACACTACAATATCACATTTCAACTCCGCGGCCACATCTACCCACTGACTATTACAACACTACAATATTACATTTCAACTCCGCGGCCACATCTACCCAGTGACTATTACAACACTACAATATCACATTTCAACTCCGCGGCCACATCTACCCAGTAACTATTACAACACTACAATATCACATTTCAACTCCGCGGCTCCATCTAACCAGTGACTATTATAACACTACAATATCACATTTCAACTCCGCGGCCACATCTAACCAGTGACTATTATAACACTACAATATCACAGTTCAACTCCGCGGCCACATCTACCCAGTGACTATTACAACACTACAATATCCCATTTCAACTCCGCTGCTCCATCTACCCAGTGACTATTACAACAATACAATATCACATTTCAACTCCGCGGCCACATCTAACCAGTGACTATTACAACACTACAACACCATACACACTATGTCAAGTTACCCAATCATTTAAACTCCGAGGCCACATCTAACCAGTGACTATTACAACACTAAAATATCACATTTCAACTTCGCGGCCACATCTACCCAGTGACTATTACAACACTACAATATCACATTTCAACTCCGCGGCCACATCTACCCAGTAACTATTACAACACTACAATATCACATTTCAACTCCGCGGCCACATCTAACCAGTGACTATTACAACACTACAATATCACATTTCAACTCCGCGGCTCCATCTACCCAGTGACTATTACAAAAATACAATATCACATTTCAACTCCGCGGCCACATCTACCCAGTGACTATTACAACACTACAATATCACATTTCAACTCCGCGGCCACATCTACCCAGTGACTATTACAACACTACAATGTTACATTTCAACTCCGCGGCCACATCTACCCAGTGACTATTACAACACTACAATATCACATTTCAACTCCGCGGCCACATCTACCCAGTAACTATTACAACACTACAATATCACATTTCAACTCCGCGGCTCCATCTAACCAGTGACTATTATAACACTACAATATCACATTTCAACTCCGCGGCCACATCTACCCAGTGACTATTACAACACTAAAATATCACATTTCAAGTCCGCGGCCACATCTACCCAGTGACTATTACAACACTAAAATATCACATTTCAACTCCGCGGCCACATCTACCCAGTGACTATTACAACACTACAATATCACATTTCAACTCCGCGGCCACATCTAACCAGTGACTATTACAACACTACAATATCACATTTCAACTCCGCGGCTCCATCTACCCAGTGACTATTACAAAAATACAATATCACATTTCAACTCCGCGGCCACATCTACCCAGTGACTATTACAACACTACAATATCACATTTCAACTCTGCGGCCACATCTACCCAGTAACTATTACAACACTACAATATCACATTTCAACTCCGCGGCTCCATCTAACCAGTGACTATTATAACACTACAATATCACATTTCAACTCCTCGGCCACATCTACCCAGTGACTATTACAACACTACAATATCACATTTCAACTCCGCGGCCACATCTAACCAGTGACTATTATAACACTACAATATCACATTTCAACTCCGCGGCCACATCTAACCAGTGACTATTACAACACTACAATATCCCATTTCAACTCCGCGGCTTCATCTACCCAGTGACTATTACAACACTACAATATCACATTTCAACTCCGCGGCCACATCTAACCAGTGACTATTACAACACTACAACACCATACACACTATGTCAAGTTACCCAATCATTTAAACTCCGCGGCCACATCTACCCAGTGACTATTACAACACTACAATATCACATTTCAACTCCGCGGCCACATCTACCCAGTGACTATTACAACACTACAATATTACATTTCAACTCCGCGGCCACATCTACCCAGTGACTATTACAACACTACAATATCACATTTCAACTCCGCGGCCACATCTACCCAGTAACTATTACAACACTACAATATCACATTTCAACTCCGCGGCTCCATCTAACCAGTGACTATTATAACACTACAATATCACATTTCAACTCCGCGGCCACATCTAACCAGTGACTATTATAACACTACAATATCACAGTTCAACTCCGCGGCCACATCTACCCAGTGACTATTACAACACTACAATATCCCATTTCAACTCCGCTGCTCCATCTACCCAGTGACTATTACAACACTACAATATCACATTTCAACTCCGCGGCCACATCTAACCAGTGACTATTACAACACTACAACACTATATACACTATGGCAAGTTACCCAATCATTTAAACTCCGCGGCCACATCTAACCAGTGACTATTACAACACTACAATATCACATTTCAACTCCGCGGCCACATCTACCCAGTGACTATTACAACACTACAATATCACATTTCAACTCCGCTGCTCCATCTACCCAGTGACTATTACAACACTACAATATCACATTTCAACTCCGCGGCCACATCTACCCAGTGACTATTACAACACTACAATATCACATTTCAACTCCGCGGCCACATCTACCCAGTGACTATTACAACACTACAATATCACATTTCAACTCCGCTGCTCCATCTACCCAGTGACTATTACAACACTACAATATCACATTTCAACTCCGCTGCTCCATCTACCCAGTGACTATTACAACACTACAATATCACATTTCAACTCCGCGGCCACATCTAACCAGTGACTATTACAACACTACAATATCACATTTCAACTCCGCGGCCACATCTACCCAGTGACTATTACAGCACTACAATATCACATTTCAACTACTCGACCACATCTACCCAGTGACTATTACAACACTACAATATCACATTTCAAGTCCGCGGCCACATCTACCCAGTGACTATTACAACACTACACTATCACATTTCAACTCCGCGGCTCCATCTACCCAGTGACTATTACAACACTACAATATCACATTTCAACTCCGCGGCCACATCTACCCAGTGACTATTACAACACTACAATATCACATTTCAACTCCGCGGCCACATCTACCCAGTGACTATTACAACACTACAATGTTACATTTCAACTCCGCGGCCACATCTACCCAGTGACTATTACAACACTACAATATCACATTTCAACTCCGCGGCCACATCTACCCAGTGACTATTACAACACTACAACACTATATACACTATGGCAAGTTACCCAATCATTTCAACTCCGCGGCTGCATCTAACCAGTGACTATTACAACACTACAACACCATATATACTATGGCGAGTTACCCAATCATTTCAACTCCGCGGTTCCATCTGACCAATCATTTCAACTTTGCCGCATTATCTACCAAATCATTACAACTTAGATTTATATATTCAGTATGTCAACTATAAAACGTTATAGTTTTCGACTAAAACCTATTACTATTGTGAAAGTATTGTTAAAGGATGCATACCTACTGTGAAAGTTTCCATTTTATGTCTCAGACCTATATATGTTACATATATACTATCAAAATTTCCATCTTTACTACGACCTAGATTTTTTTACCTATATATCATGTTTACCTACTACAAAAGATCCCAGTTTTTGACTTATATATGATGTGTACCTACTGTATCAGATATATGATGTATACCTGCTGTATAAGATCCCAATTTTTGACCTATATATGATGTATACCTGCTGTATAAGATCCCAATTTTTGACCTATATATGATGTATACCTGCTGTAAAAGATCCCAGTTTTTGACCTATATATGATGTATACCTAGTGTAAAAGATCCCAGTTTTTGACCTATGTATGATGTATACCTGCTGTATAAGATCCCAGTTTTTGACCTATATATGATGTATACCTGCTGTATAAGATTCCAGCTTTTGACCTATATATGATGTATACCTACTGTAAAAGAATCCAGGTATTGACATATATATGAAGTAAACCAACAGAATAATATACCAGTTTTTGACCTATATATGATGTATACCTACTGTAAAAGATCCCAGTTTTTGACCTATGTATGATGTATACCTGCTGTAAAAGATCCCAGTTTTTGACCTATATATGATGTATACCTGCTGTAAAAGATCCCAGTTTTTGACCTATATATGATGTATACCTGCTGTAAAAGATCCCAGTTTTTGACCTATATATGATGTATACCTGCTGTATAAGATTCCAGTTTTTGACCTATATATGATGTATACCTACTGTAAAAGATCCCAGTTTTTGACCTATATATGATGTATACCTGCTGTAAAAGATCCCAGTTTTTGACCTATATATGATGTATACCTACTGTAAAAAATTCAGTTTTTTACCTGTATATGATGTATACCTGCTGTAAAAGAATTCAGTTTTTTACCTGTATATGATGTATACCTACTGTAAAAGATCCCAGATTTTGACCTATATATGATGTATACCTACTGTAAAAGATCCCAGTTTTTGACCTATATATGATGTATACCTACTGTAAAAGATCCCAGATTTTGACCTATATATGATGTATACCTACTGTAAAAGATCCCAGTTTTTGACCTATATATGATGTATACCTGCTGTAAAAGAATCCAGGTTTTGACCTATATATGATGTATACCTACTGTATAAGATCCCAGTTTTTGACCTATATATGATGTATACCTGCTGTAAAAGATCCCAGTTTTTGACCTATATATGATGTATACCTGCTGTATAAGATTCCAGCTTTTGACCTATATATGATGTATACCTACTGTAAAAGAATCCAGGTTTTGACCTATATATGATGTATACCTACTGTATAAGATTCCAGCTTTTGACCTATATATGATGTATACCTACTGTAAAAGAATCCAGGATTTGACCTATATATGATGTATACCTGCTGTATAAGATCCCAGTTTTTGACCTATATATGATGTATACCTAGTGTAAAAGATCCCAGATTTTGACCTATATATGATGTATACCTGCTGTAAAAGATCCCAGTTTTTGACCTATATATGATGTATACCTGCTGTATAAGATTCCAGGTTTTGACCTATATATGATGTATACCTACTGTAAAAGATCGCAGTTTTTGACCTATATATGATGTATACCTGCTGTAAAAGATCCCAGTTTTTGACCTATATATGATGTATACCTACTGTATAAGATTCCAGCTTTTGACCTATATATGATGTATACCTACTGTATAAGATCCCAGGTTTTGACCTATAGATGATGTATACGTACTGTAAACATTTACTTTATAATATCCTATGCTGGTTTTATATCGTCGCTGTTTTCGTCTATGTTTTCTTCTCTTTTTCCTTCTACATTTCTTACATGTTCTGTTAAAATCTCTTTTTCCTGAAAAAATAACACAAATGTTTCATTATATTTAATATTATATTTGATAATGTCAACTATGGTGGACCGAACAATACTTTTTTTTGTAATGCATATTTTTTATTTCTTTTGATTCACACATAATCAGTTTGTTACAAATTTGAAAAAAAAACATATATCCACAGATATAATATTTCTAGTTACAGATGTTTGTATAGTATAACGAAATGTTATTGATTTAATAGATTGTCCATTGGTTGCCATTTTTTAAAATTATTTCAAGAAACGTATTTGAGCTGTAATACCTGTATGAAGTTATTTAAATTTCTCTGTTACGTTTTAACAAGAGGCCCAAGGGACCTTAACGGTCACCTGAGGAATATATGTCAATAATCTGGGGATTTTAAAATGTTGCAAAAATGTAACAACACTTGTGCAGGACTATGTTTAAAACATCTGTACCAAGTTTGAACATGACCCACCCAATGGTTCTTGAGAGTAAGTCCATAATGTCTTAGCGAAACAGAGGCCAGGGTGGCCATCTTGGATATTGAATCGCCCAAAAAGTTAAAACACTTGCCAGGACCTTGTGTAGAACATTCGTATCAAGTTTCCCCTTTTCCCCCCTCCTGGGGCCCCTAATGGGGCCACGACATTTTTCTTCGCAAACTTGAAGCGGTTTCCCATGGGGATGCTTTGTGCCAAGTTTGGTCAAAATCCATCTACTGGTTCTTGAGAAGTAGTCATTTAATGAAGGTTTTTACACATGGCCCTTTTACACCCCTTATGGGCCACAAAGGGGACATTATCACTTTTTTCAACATAATTTCATATGTTCTTCGCTAAGGGATGCTGTCTACCAAATTTGGTTGAAATCGGTCAAAGTTGAATTTTTGACCCTTTTGAGCGCCCCCTAGTGAGGCCGGTTTTGACCCGATTTTTTTTTTCATTCGCAAACTTTGTAGACCTTGCTATACGGACCATAAATATCAAATAGGAATTTAATCTGACTGTTGGTTCATGAGAAGATTTTTAAAGCTTTACCTAATTTTACCCCCTTCCCCCCCTCCTGCGGCCCCTATTGAGGCCACGCCCTTTTTCTTCGCAAACTTGAAGCGGCTTCCCATGGGAATGCTTTGTGCCAAGTTTGGTCAAAATCCATCCAATAGTTCTTGAGAAGTCATTTAAAGGTTTTTACATATGGCCCCTTTTACACCCCTTATGGGCTCCAAAGGGAACATAATCACTTTTTTCAACACAATTTCATATGTCCTTCACTAAGGGATGCTGTCTACCAAATTTGGTTGAAATCGGTCAAAGTTGAATTTTTGACCCTTTTGAGCGCCCCCTAGTGAGGCCGTTTTTGACCCGATTTTTTTTCATTCGCAAACTTTGTAGACCTTGCCATAAGGACCCTAAATATCAAATATGAATTTAATCTGACTGTTGGTTCATGAGAAGAAGATTTTTAAAGCTTTACCTAATTTTACCCCCTTTTCCCCCCTCCTGGGGCCACGCCCTTTTTCTTCGCAAACTTGAAGCGGCTTCCCATGGGAATGGTTTGTGCCAAGTTTGGTCAAAATCCATTCAATGGTTCTTGGGAAGAAGTCGAATATGTGAATATGGGGATGGTTTGCGCCAAGTTTGGTCAAAATCCATTCAATGGTTCTTGGGAAGAAGTCGAATATGTGAAAAGTTAACGACACACGACGCACGACGACAGACAAATCATGATGGCATTAGGTCACCATGAACCTTCGGCTCAGGCGACCTAAAAACGATAACATACCTGTTATTGAAGGAAGAGAAAAAATACATCTACATATATATATGTAGCGTCTTATTATCAGAAAACAACAATTAAGCAAATTATTATAATTATTGATTTTACATCCAAACATGGCATCCATTTTGTCAATTTCATATTCAATGTTACATTTCACCTTGATTAAATCTGAAAGTTTCCTCCAAATAGCATTTACGTGAATGCATTGCTACATTAGATGATACAAATCTTCATCTTCATAATTACAAAAGGTACAATTCCTGTTATCATTTATACCGAATTTATATAAAGGTGTATTAGTACATATTGTTCTATGAAAACTTTTGAATTGAAAATTTCTTTGATTTACATCTAACGTATCAAATACGTATATTTCCAATCTATTTCTAGGTTTTGCAGATCTTGAGACCACTTTTCAATTGCTTTTTGATTTATAGAAAGAACAGAGGAACACAATTTTGAATAGAAAATTCAAGTAGGTTTGACGAGGAATTTTATAAGTCTAATATTATTAGTTTTCGCACCGTATTGTTACCATGGTGACTGATTGACCTTTTCCATGCACCCGGGATGGCGGAAATAATGCAATAAAACTGCATCCTTTGACTTTGTGGTATATTAAAATGTTCTTGTAAATTCTGGAAAGTCATCACTTTACCATCATTTAGAATAAGATCTGTTATCTGGTTGATGCCACTCTCTTGCCATGACTGGAAATATACTGTTTTGTTACCTATTTTTATATTATGATTAAACCATATTGGTTGGGACAAAAAATACTCTGCATCCTGCTGTTCCAAATTTTGTTCACTCCAAGCCAAAAATACTTCTTTCCAGAAAAGATTAAATTTGTTAGTGATTTAAAGCATATCATTTTTTACATATGAGAGAATGTTTAAATTTCCATATTCATCCAATTGATATAACAGAAGTAGTTTCCAAGGGGATGTGTTTTGAGGATCAATTAATTTCTTGATCCAGGTCATTTTCAAAGATTTAATGAAACTTTCAATATCAATAATATTAAGACCACCATTCTCATAACTGTTTTTTAGTGTTTCTCTCCTGATTTTATCTTTTTATCTTTTTACAATATTATGTTGCCAGTATTATATATATATAGCTCTATGTCAAACATATATGTCGGAATAATCTGTAAAATACACTTATTTACTTCAATTTCTATTCTAATTTTAACAGTGAAATGCAGCCTGTTTTTTTTTTACATATTTTTGTTCTAATTTTGAATGTGATCTGTAACCTATGTTTTAGATATTTCTATTTCCATTTTTACAGTGATCTGAATCCTATTATTTAAGATATTTCTATTCCAATTTTACAGTCATCTGTAGCCTGTTTATTTAAGATATTTCTATTTTGATTTTGACTGTGATCTGTTGCTTGTTTTTACATATTTCTATTTTAATTTATACAGTGATCTGTAACCTAATTTTACATATTTATATTCTAATTTTGACTGTGATCTGTAACCTATTTTTAAAGATATTTATATATAATTTTGACTGTGATCTGTAACCTATTTTTACATACTGACGACTGTGATTTTATTACTGATGACTGTGATTTTATTACTGATGACTGTGATTTTATTACTGACGACTGTGATTTTATTACTGACGACTGTGATTTTATTACTGATGACTGTGATTTTATTACTGATGACTGTGATTTTATTACTGATGACTGTGATTTTATTACTGACGACTGTGATTTTATTACTGACGACTATGATTTTATTACTGATGACTGTGATTTTATTACTGATGACTGTGATTTTATTACTGATGACTGTGATTTTATTACTGACGACTGTGATTTTATTACTGATGACTGTGATTTTATTACTGATGACTGTGATTTTATTACTGATGACTGTGATTTTATTACTGACGACTGTGATTTTATTACTGACGACTGTGATTTTATTACTGACGACTGTGATTTTATTACTGATGACTGTGATTTTATTACTGATGACTGTGATTTTATTACTGATGACTGTGATTTTACTACTGACGACTGTGATTTTATTACTGATGACTGTGATTTTATTACTGATGACTGTGATTTTATTACTGATGACTGTGATTTTATTATTGATGACTGTGATTTTATTACTGACGACTGTGATTTTATTACTGATGACTGTGATTTTATTACTGATGACTGTGATTTTATTACTGATGACTGTGATTTTATTACTGACGACTGTGATTTTATTACTGATGACTGTGATTTTATTACTGATGTGATTTTATTACTGACGACTGTGATTTTATTACTGACTGTGATTTTATTACTGACGACTGTGATTTTATTACTGACGACTGTGATTTTATTACGGATGACTGTTACTTTATTACTGACGACGGTGATTTCATTCTTTATGTGAATTTATTACTGACGACTGTGATTTTATTACTGACGACTGTGATTTTATTACTGACGACTGTGATTTTATTACTGATGTGATTTTATTACTGACGACTGTTGTTTTATTACTGCTGACTGTTATTTTATTACTGACGACTGTGATTTTATTACTGATGACTGTGATTTTACTACTGACGACGGTGATTTTATTACTGATGACTGTGATTTTATTACTGATGACTGTGATTTTATTACTGACGACTGTGATTTTATTACTGATGACTGTGATTTTATTACTGATGACTGTGATTTTACTACTGACGACGGTGATTTTATTACTGATGACTGTGATTTTTCTACTGACGACTGTGATTTTATTACTGATGACTGTGATTTTATTACTGATGACTGTGATTTTACTACTGACGACTGTGATTTTATTACTGACTGTGATTTTATTACTGACTGTGATTTTATTACTTGACTGTGATTTTATTACTGACGACTGTGATTTTATTACTGATGACTGTGATTTTATTACTGATGACTGTGATTTTATTACTGATGACTGTGATTTTATTACTGATGACTGTCATTATGTTATTGATGACTGTGATTTTATTACTGATGACTGTGATTATGTTATTGATGACTGTGATTTTATTACTGATGAGTGTGATTTTATTACTGATGACTGTGATTTTATTACTGATGTGATTTTATTACTGACGACTGTGATTTTATTACTGATGACTGTGATTTTATTACTGATGACTGTGATTTTATTACTGATGATGTGCTGATGACTGTGATTTTATTACTGACGACTGTGATTTTATTA